AACAGCCAGGTACTGCAACACTGTAACCTGAAGAGCAAATACTATATCACTGCAAACCTTGAAACCAAGACCACATATTTTCCTAAAAGCTGCGCTCCATTTTTGCCACAAGGCAAAGTGGTCGATGGAGGAGTCACAGGAGGGCATTCTGGGGCCTGTATCAGACAAGAAGCCAAACAATACCCTAAGTCACCTTTCGGACCCACTCCCTAACTGGCATTTCCAAGTGCTGCTACAACACAACACCAGCATCCTTCTCAGCTGAACCTCACATTTCATTATCTTAGTATCTATAATAAGGTTCTGAATCCAGCAGCTGAAGACCAGATGGGCTAGGAAGTCCCCTTTCCTGGTCTTTTCGGTGATTATTTCTTGATAAAAGAGATTACTCTCACAGCTCCAGCCTTGAAGGTCAACAAAAACAACACTCACTCAGACCCCTGCCACCAGCAGTGATACCAAAAAAACCCTTCTGCTTTCCCTGAAGACAAGAAAGAGGTAAAAGAGTAAAATTCGAGGAGTCATCAATAACTTCATCTCTAAATATTTTTTAACTCTTTCACTTCTAGGAAGCAGCAGCAGAATCATCTGAATGCCAAAGTCCAACCACCAGGAACTCAGAACCGGTTTCGCACGTAGCAACTCATCCAGCACCTGGGAACTCCAGCCTTGCTGCTGATCCCTGAGGACTGAAGCGACTGCAGAAGGTTTTTTGCTGTTGCATCTGGCTGGGATTCGGCAAGCTGCTGAAGCGCCAGCTGCAGACTCCATAAACATTATAAATCCTGCCAACATTTCTTTTCTCAAACTACTACACTCAAATCACAGGAAGGGCTCTATTTTCTTGTTTCAGCAGCCTAGCTAATAGTTATTTTATCCTTGCTGTTCCACAAAGTGAAGAAGTTTCCTCATCGTTTATACTTCTGGCAGCAAACTCCATTCCCTAGCTTTGCAAATAGAAGTTATGTCAAGGCACTTTGGTGGGTTGCAGGAAAAACACAGGTTCTGAACACCTTGTTTACAACAGACCACAATTTCATGCAATCTAAAAGCGTTCTGCCACATCTTGGTCTTGCTTTGCAAGGACATCGGCTACTGAACCACAGGGTGCAAGCTTTGATTTTGAAATTAAAAACGAAACACAAAGTGTCATGAAACATCTTAACGTGAAACCTAACGCGAGAGCCTAAGCACTAGACAGCATCCTTCAGCGTCACACACATCTACAGGACGCTACACGCTAGCATTTCCAGATGCTCCACACCAGCTTAACTAATAAATACATAGATGTCTTATCGATTAACTTAATTGGCCTTTCCACATCGTTTACTTACCGGTATCGATGCAAAGTGAGGCAGAAGAGTTTGCAAAGGCCTTTCACTGCACCCTCTGGAAGATCTGTAACAGGTTGTATTTCAAAATATTTTTTCATAAATCACTGAGGTCCTAACCTTTAAGGATACACGCACAATTCACTTCACAACTGAAATCAGTGAACTGCTCACAGAAGAACTGCTCACAGCTCCTGCGCATCTACAAAAGCGTTTGAAAAATTGCCAGGGCCTTATTCAGAGTTCTCTGTTTGTATACATTTTATATATATTCGTAAAAATAATAGCAAAATTGGAACACATACTGTTCCAAAGTCATTTTCAGAAAATGAGAGGAAAAAAAATGAAATCTTTTAAAGATTTGCTTCAACCATTTTATTAAGACTATCTAAAATCTTCCATTCGTCTACTTTAGCTAAATGTATAAATTCTCCATGAACCATTACAAAATCAAGCTAAGAGTCAGGAGTCAAGAGGCAAAAGATAGAGTAATGAAAAACTAACACCCATGATGTTACAACCATTTACTCAAAAAAGCACAAAAGCTAGTAACTAGAGAGGGTTCAGTATCACATATAAAACCTATGGTTCAAGTTAATGTTGTGAGAATACGTATACTCCAAACGCTGCCACCCTACAAGTTTCACCCAGCCCTTTAAATACAACATTTGAACGTTCTCCACCCTGGTGGCAGAAACAGTGCCCAAATGCTCTTACCTTTCCCAGCAAGGCATTTTCCCAGCTCACTGAGGATCTCTCTTCGTTCCTTCACGCTGGCTGTTGTTACTTTTACCGCGAACCGCTTCAGTGTATCGGAAATCTATAACCAGTATTTTGCACACACAGAGGGAAAAAACATTAGACGGCCTCAGGTATCAACACACGGAACAAAACCAGGACAAACAAAACACGCAGCTGGTAACCTCTTCCGGACCAAACGGGATCATCCACGGTCTTATCTTCCAGAGAAAGGGTCACTGCATACCATACAGGAGGTAACTCAAAAATCTCCACTTTACGCTGAAGGATGACAGCTTTCTGGTTTTCACCCTGTTTCTGCGTCATGGCACTCACTCTCCGTAACATACAACGCTTACCCTTCTGAAAGGGGGGCAGAGCGAAAAGCTCATCAGCAAAACCAATGCCCTAGAGTACAGGACCCCTAAAAGCCAAAAAACCATAGACTTCCAAAGTGCATATGTATTTTTAAGTGGTATGTTACCTCCTAAAACCCACTCACCCCCTTAAATGGCCCTTCCGATTGCAGGTGGTCTATCACAGAGTTTACTTGCTCGTCCTGAAAACTTAACCTGTGGTTTCCCGTTGTCAGTAGTTGTGAAATTACATATCTCGGACCAGCAGGAAAGTGCAGAGTTTGCCTTTGCCCTTTTCCAGATTGAACACACACCTCGGGGATTTTGCAAGTTGGACTCGCCAGACTACTAAAAGTCACGCCTCGCTATAAAACTCCTTCCAGTGCTATCAATAGCACCCAAGGTTACGAAAATAAAACAAATTAAAAAAATCCATACCATAAAATTGCATGTGTTTCTTATCATGCCTCCCCTACTGTCTGTTTACTGTACGCTTGACTCTGTCAGCAGTCGGGGACTGAGACCACTCACTAGGTTCATGTAACTTCTGTAAACAGATTGGGTTTTCACGTGGTACCAAGCTGGTGAGATGCACTCTTTGAAAAGACTGGAAAGAAGTTTACATTCTCAGTGGCCTGCTCCTTTCAACTACTGAAAACAGAAAACATATTAACGAACTTTCAACTTCCATAAAACATGCGAGGCAAAAGACTTCCCATAGGCTAACAACAGGGCTCAGTAAGGACTACACTAACGTAGTCTCTGCCTTTATATAAACCAAAACAACAAGTCTCTAGAAAAGGCTTAAAGTTCACCTCGATCTGAGCAACAACCCCTTCTGCACTACGCCCACAGCTCCAGGACAGAAGCTGGAGTTTTTTCCACAACACTTAAATCCCTACAGCAAGGAAGAGGTGCCTCCAGCCTTCACCCCAAATCCCTGCTATGTAGAAAGACCACGGCGGAAGTCCAGAAAAGCTGCCTTTGGGAACGGCAGCACCCACACACCTCCTCAGGAACTTGTAAAAACTCATTCTCCCCTCTTAAGGCGAAAGCTTTAGCAGCTTTGCCACAACGGCTTCTTTCTATAAACGTAGGAAACCTGGCAGATTCGCGAAACGGAAACTGCCTCCGTTCACCTCAAAAAGCGTTTTTAATAAAACTTTCCTGCT